AACAAGTGGCATGCATGTCATTTTTTGTTCATTTCAAAGGCTAAGCATAAAAAACTTGGAATTTCTTTCAAGGTAGTTCAAAGAGACAAGCTTATGACAAAACCGGATGGATTAAAAAAATAAAAACATTAATGTATAACATGCAGCCCAAAATTTCCAGCAACTCAAAAATTTAAAGAAAAAAGCAAGAACCTAAATAAGAAAGCCTAAAATGCCAAGATGATTCACAAAGAACATATGGTATGAATCAACACATGAGAAGAGATTTATGGATCATCAAAATATGGCAATTAAGATGATTCATTTAGGCACACTTAGGAGACATGTAAGGAAGACATGACATGACCGAATATTTTTAGAGATAAAGAGATTGTTACCCTTGAAGAACCAAGGCTCTAGATACCACTTGATGGCATCCTTACTTGCATGAACTTGAGATGATGAGCAAGGAGGAGGACGCCTTCTCCAAGGATCAAGTTCTTCAAAGGTGGACCAAGGTTTTAGGGTGGATGATGATGGAATGGACGAAAATGAAGGTTGGGTAGAAGGTGTTTGAGGAAATGCTTGAGAAGGGTACTCTAGGGTTGGCTCACTTCATGATGATGAAGGCCACTTCTAGGGTTGTTTCTCTCAAGGTGGAGATGAGAGGGAGGTGGCCGAATTAGCCAAGGGTGACTAAGGAAAGATATAAAGGCACAAAAGGCTCTCTTTATATTCAATATCCAAAGTATTTACAAGGTGTGGTGCCTAGGATATTTATAGGAGTGGGAGGCATCTAGGGTTGCATTTAGGGTGCCAAATGCACACCAAATGAAACCCAAATTAACCCTAGATGCAACTTGGTGGCCAAGGATGGAATCTTTGGGTTAGTTAGGCTACATCTAGGTGCATGATAAGACCATGCAACCTTTGCCCTCCACTTGGGCCTAAGTCTTTCTAAGTCCAAAAATAGGTCCAAACACCACCAAAAATGTGTCTAGCTCCCTAATTAAATACCTTAGCCCAAAATTAAAAACTTATGATCTAAAACATCCCATAATACAAGGGTAAAATGGGAAATACAAAAGAAAATAAATCCTATGACTAAGATACCCCAAAATACAAGGGTAAAATAGGAAATTAAAGACAAGGACAAAAATAGGAATAAAAATAAATGCTATAAAAGCTTAGGAGCTAAGGCCCAAAAGTAGGCTTAGTCCTCATGTGGTTTTTCAACACTAACTCATTCCTCTTGCCTCCTTCAATATATCACCTCTTGGTCTTCTTGGCCTTAGTGTTATTCCATCACTAAGGTACACCTTGTTAGCTGGTTACATCACTGGTATGCGGCCTCAGCGGCACACCTGGAGTTATATATGTATATGATGCATGTCATACATTCATTATTTCATTGACTCAACATTTGACTTATTACATAATTTCATTTAGTACATCATGTCATCATTTTTCATATTCTCATAATCATAGCTTGTTTCAATAGTCCATTCTTATGTCTCATGCCATTTGTGCATATTTCACATAGTCATGTCATAATTATTCCTCATAAGGTCCGCACAGGAATCTTTAGAGAACATTCTTATTCATATTAAAACTTATTTATTTTTAACATTAATTACAATTATACAACTCAACATCAATCAACCAACATCATCTACTAGTCATTACATTATATTAATCCATTTCAACTAACTCAGCATACAACATCATTAACCAACATATAGAAGAATCCCATCTCCGCGCCCGGCGCACTCGAGGTTGCGCCCAGCGTGGTGCAACCAGAGAGTACCTGGGGCCAGCGCGCCCAGCGCGAGCATGCCCACGCTCGGCGGGACTCAGCCAGAGATCCCAAGGCTCTCCCGTGCTTGGCGCAACACCAATTGTGCCCAGCGCAGGCCAGGCAGAGACTCCAAGGAGTCTCACGCGCCCGGCGTACCTAACCCAGCGCCCAGCGCGAGGAGGTAGAGACCTCCCCTAGGTTTCGCGCTCAACGCAATTCAAATTGCGCCCAGCGCCCACAAGGCAGAGACTCCCAAGGAGTCTCACGCCCAGTGCGACAAGGGTCGCGCTCAGCGCAGCCTCAAGAACCCAAAAGCAAGTTATAACAAGTATCGCGCCCAGTGCGGTCCAGGTCACTCCTAGCGCGGGCCAACCAGAGACCCACATTCTCCAGCATGCCCAGCGCACTCATCATTACGCCCGGCGAGCTTGGCCAAATGGGGTCTCCTGGTGGCCATGCGCCCAGCGCGATGAACAGCGCTCAGCGCGAAGCTCAGCAGCAACACTCCATTTTCGAAAAATTTGACCAAAACCTGCATAACTCAACAGAAATCCAACATGCAAACCATTCAAGTTACCCCATTTTAGATTAAAGGCTCAAAAATACCAACCTTTTTCACATGCAACCATAAAAACAATCAAGAGACCCCAAAATCTGTCAAAACCCACAAAAACCCCAAGACTTCCGATTTTCAGCAATTCAACAAAAACAAATCATCAAACATCAACCGATTTCAACAGCTAATGAGCTTACAACGATTCATTCTCAACTAAAAATAAATCACAAAACTAACTTCCCTTACCTCGGGCAAGGTTCCGAGCTTCCGAGAAGGAGATGACAATGACGGAAGAGAAGAAAAGGGAAGAATTGAGAGACTTGAGAAGGCTCCGCACAGCTTCAATATAATCTCCTACTCCGCACCTATGAATCAATTCGGCCACCACCAAGGAAAAGGATCCACGAGATAGTGAGGAAAGAGTGAGTATAAGAGTTTAGAAAAAGAGAGTGAAGGTGGAGTTTAGGGAAAAAGAAAGGAAAGGAAAAGGGTTTCACAACCTTGAAAGGACAAGAGTCTTCCATATTATATCCCTACCTAATTAACTAATGTGATCAATCATCCTCAACAATTTTGTGACTGCTGTCTTCATTCTTCTACCAACCACTCATATTAATCCACTTTATCATATATTATTTCATTCCTTAAAAAAAATAGGAAAAAAGGATACATAAAAATAAACACCTTTTCTTTTTATCTAAATATATAGTTGAGATAAATATATTAGTAGGAGTAACTTGTGAAAATTTGTATATATTATGTAAATAATAAACTCGCTTACCTTTAACTTAATATATTCCAGTTTTATAGTGTATTTTATTTAACTGACTTCATATGATTAGGTAGAATGTTATTGTTTTTTTATATAAATATAGCTCGTTAATTAAAATTAAGTGTCACAAAAAAGATATTACATATGTCAAAAACACTTAATAAAATAATAAACACTTTACACAATTATATATAGCACATATTATTATTTTTCAAAAAAAAAATCAAACTAATAATAATAAAAAAGTGAAAAAAAATAAAATAAGAAAATAATTTTACAAGAAGAAAAATAGTTAACAAGAGATTTTAGAAAGCGAGAGTTTCAACAAAGTAAAATAGAATGAAGTGTTTTTAACTCACAACAAAAAGAAATGAAATGCATTCAAATAGTAATCGTTGAGACTCAAAGTGGACTACTGACAAAAAGAGTTCCGAGACTTTTTGGGCTAGCTTTTCCAAAAGGTCATTATTTTTAATTAATATTTCTTCACAAAATATAAGCTACTTATTTTTTTTTAAGGACTTTTATATCACTGTGTTTAATCCAATTTTTACTTATAAATAAAAAGTAAGCTTCAAATAAGTTGGGCTAGATGTGATAATTACTATCCAAACTAGTTTTTACCCCTTATTTTTGTCTTCTTTATTTTATGAGATAAAAATAAAAAGTAAAAATATAATTTAACTTAAATATTATTAAATTTGAATTTATATGTTATTTATCTATTATAATGTTATGATCAATATTACAATTTAACGGTCACAAATAAATATTTAATAGTTGGACAAAAATTATAAATTTTAGAAAATTAAAAAATTAAAAATTAAAAAATCTACATTACAAATAAGATATTATAAGAGATCAAGAGTACATTTTTTTTAATTTGATTTATAAATGAAGTCAATTTAACTCAATTCAACTTATTTATACTTTTTATGAGTTTCGAATAAAAGGATTCTAAAAGCATTTAACATGTAACTTAAATATACTTTATCAAAATTCATAAATAAATATACTTGAACATTGAGTTCTTTTATTTATATAAATTGGTATTCAATATTTTCTTATTTATAAGAATTGAATATGGGTATTAAAAGAATTTATAATATTTATGTATTTTATTCAATTAACTACGCTAGACTCAATTGATTAATATGAAATTTACCTTTGAATATATGATCTAAGAAGTGTCAGTTTACAACACTCTCTTTAAGTTATTTTTAATTAAAATTTTTGAAATCATAAAATTATGAGACTGACTCATTAATTGAGAACAGAGTCTTGTAAAATTTGTTTTTTTTTTATTTATTACAAATTTCATCTAATAGTAGAAAATGTCCAACATACTGTATTAGATAGCAAGTCATTTATTATGAGAAGATGAACTTAAAATTTGATATAAAGAAGATAACATAATGTGTTTATCCAATTTTAACTTAATGTTTGGTAAGTTGATAAAATAATATAAACTTAGTATTCTATTTGTTTATTTTATCTCTTTCATTACACCCCATCTTCATTATTGTCATAATTAGTGTTATCATGACCACAATTATTTTCTTATCATAACTCCTATTATAAGAGTATTACCATTATCATTATCATAATCACTATATTGCAATAATTATGGTTACTCTCACCATTAACAATTTTTACCATCATTATTTGCATCACCATACCCATCTCTCACCACTTTTTCCGAGAGTAATTTTATCTTTTTACATAAAAGATATATTACTATCCACTATGATATTTAATATATTTCAAACACAACATAGAGTAAAAGATTATTTTTCTTATGTCATTTCCTACTTGTCCTATGCATCCTTGTTTTGTCTTAACCAATGAGCTCTCAAGAAAGTACATTTTAATATATCAGAGTAGTCGAAGCAAAAATAAATTTGTGAAAATAGACCCTTATGAACCAGTTGTACTTGATAAATTAAAATCTATGAATCAGTTGCACTTAGTAAAAATCTAAACAGTTGAAGCACAACTAGTATGTCTATAGAATCATTTTCTGTTAGTATGATCCTCTTGTCTCTGTCCTTTAAAAAAAATTAGGCCAATTTGTCAAATTTAAAACCAGCAAATTAGCCAACAATTCACCCTTGGTTTATTCCTCTCAGGTTTAATTAGTTTTCTGTAACAGGTTCTTCTTCCATTTTGCTAAACGAATCAAGAAAGTCAGCACATCAGTGGGGTCACGCAGGGAATATGAAGCCTCAGTCTCCTTTGCAACTGAAGAAACAATAATTGGAAAACCACGTCCAATGTGTCTTATAACCTACATGCATTACATACATCCACACAATAGATATTTGAGTATATTAAAATCTATAACTAGTAAATATTACCATATATTGTTCAAATTAATCAAGCTTCTAAGAAGGGAGAGAAAAAATGGCAGTAATTAATATATTCCCCCCAAAAACTAGTCACCAAATTGAGAAAAAAAAATAACAGTTCTGAATGTTCAACACTAAACATTGTTTTTTTGTGTCATTCAAGTGCAGATTGCGTATACCAGGAAAGTAACTTTTATAATAATTACTTTAAAAATTATATCTGAAATTATTTTTAATTAGTCGATAATACAATTTTTTTACATTGATCATGCATGAAAATTAAAACATACACAAAATCAGGCTTCTGTTTTAACAAATCGTACCTTGAAAGCATCTTCATCTGTTCTGTCATCTCCAAGGTACATTGGAAGAACATTGTTAAAGTTGTCAAAGCGAAGAGATTCAAGCAAATACCTAAGAGCACGACCTTTGTCCCAGTTTACATTTGGACGTATCTCCATAACCTGATCAAAGATTTAAGGTCAAGTTTTAGAATCCAACATTTTGTATTCATCAATAGCAAAAAAAAAAAAACATACTGGTACCTTTCTTCCTCTTGATATGTGAAAACTGGGGTAAGCTTTCATAATAGACTCCACCATTTCTCTTAGAACACCAACGTCCTATAATTTGGTGAAGCAACGTAATTGCATAGGCTTATATTATGAGCCTCATATGTTAATATTAGATTTGTTAATCTAGTGAGTATGTTAATACCTCATCATTTTTCACACGCCGGTAGTGTACAGTGACACAGAACATATTATCCTCAATCATAGAGCCCTCTATTCTTGCTGTGTTTTCTTTCAAAACCTTAATTATCTGCAAGAAATAAATGAAACATTCATGAACAGAAGTAATTTATGAAGAGTCAATTATGTTCACATCTGGAAAAGAAAATCAAGTCACAGTTTAAATATTAGACCTCTACTTTATATGACAAACTTTGTTAATGTTATTGCTAAACATTCAGAGCTTTAAAGGAAGTTGAATGAAGGAGCTTCTAAAATATTTGTGGTGTATAATTTGATAAAATTTTGTTTATTTTACTTTCTTCATTAATCTAAGAGTAAATAATCTATAATATATACGGTGTAAAAGGTCATCTAGTTACAATTTGTACATATTCAATAAGTTTTTTTTATAACTTTTATAATAATTATTTTAAAAATCATACCAACAATAATTTATGATTCACTGTCGTGTGAAATTACTTGAGAAGTTTATCTTTGTTAACTATGAATGTAAGTGAGACCAAGCTACTCGAAGTGGTTTTTCATTTTGACATAAAAGGAATTACCTCTTGGATTGTTGGTAAAAATTCTTTTGCTGGATGAAAGTGAACAACATCATTACCCTACAAAGGTAACACACCTAGACATGAGTGACAAAGTCAAGTTGTCACAAGCATCATTTAATTATCATTAAACTTCGTAATTGAAATCTGTGTTTTGTCCAAACAATAGGCACAACTATTGCACTAAAAAATGCAAATTTATATAAACCTTTTCATCAAAAGCCTTTATCTGATGCTTCTGATCTTCACATTTCGAAGATCCTAATGGAGTTGATATATCCATGCCATGACTTCCAGCATAATAAACATTCCTTAACTTCACAAATTCATATACCTACATGTCAAAAGGAAAATAAAGGCACTGAAAACTAGATGAAAACAATAGATGCTACTCAATAAGGGTTGTCTCATGTCTACATAATAGATGCTACTCAATAAGGGTTGTCTCATGTCTACATAATAGATGCTACTCAATAAGGGTTGTCTCATGTCTACATAATAGATGCTACTCAATAAGGGTTGTCTCATGTCTACATAGTGCACTATTCTGTTGAGTGAGTGGATTACCTTATCTTTGCACCTTCCACTAACAATGGCAGTGGGAAAGCAATAAGCAACTTCACGAACAGCTGCGCGCATCTACAAAACGCAAACCATACGGCATTGACAACTAAGTCTTGAGAAAATCAAAGCAAAAACTACAGAACTCAGGAATCATCATAAAGCACGACCACCAACATATGTTGTGGTGTTTGATTATCCTATGCAAAGCACTCACAGCATCACTCATGTAAGCCTTATCAGGGTCATCTACTATAGGTGAGAGTGTTCCATCATAGTCCAAAAACACAACAATCTCTTTCTCTTCAGCTATGCTCATCACTTCCTCAAAATTGTCCAAGGCAGAAGGATGCTTTCCCTTTCAGCCAGAAAAGTAATAATAACAATAATAATTATTAAAAGCAAGAACCAAACAAAGAGGCCAATATAAATCAATGTCAGCATCATTGGCCATTCAGATAGATATTACATCATATCACACCAAAGCATAATTGGTTGAAATCTTGCAGATAAGTTATAGAATATGAAAATAAGTTTAACTTCCTAAGCATATATCATCATTAAGTATTAAGTAAATTCTTATAGGGTATGCAAGTTTTAAGCATACTAGCCAGGAAGCATAACACAATTCTCCATTCTCATCCTTTGTAGGTGAGATTGATTTCATGTTTGACTGCGTTGATGGTGGTGATAAGTATCCCATCTGAGATTGATTTTATGCAGAAACTGAACCTTGCTACCTGCATTCAAGTGTTTGTGAGACAATTAATGATGGAAATAATGTCTTACTTTTAATATGATAATATCCAAGCAATATTTTTGTCATTAAATTTGGTTATGCTAAGGTTTCATGGAATTAATTAAAGGGAACCCTGAGTCTGAATAAGCACTAAATAATTAAAAAAAAAAAGAGGGAAATTAATAAAAACTAAACAAAATGACACTGAACAGGTATAAACAGTTTATGCTAGTTGACCGTTAAAAGAAGAATGTAGACAGTTCACAAGGCTTTTGTTTTAAAAGGGTGCCTTTGGCTTTGAACTTTCTTATTGTTCACGAAGTGCAAAGAAAGTGATGAAACCATGTGATACCCTTATCTTTTCAGAAGAAAAAAGAAGTTCCTTATCTGCAACTCAAGCAGTCACATTCTGAATTAGTTTCCACATGAACTGCGAGAATTAAATGAATAAAAAAAATGCATGTTCTTTTTGTGGCTACAAATCCCTGTATCAAATTTGTGGGATAAACAGGTTTTAATCACTAGAGACATAGGAAATAGGGAATGCAGAAGAGATCAATAGATCATATATAAAGAGGAAGAAAAGCTGTGATTAATTTATAATGAGTAATGAATGTTCTTTACTAATGAAATGCCTCTAATGGAACCTTATGTAAACCAATTAATGTGGTAGGTTATATTTGGAAGTATCCATCATGTATGATTCACATGCATTGGTTTCTAGGAGAGTTTGTCACTGAATTTTGGCACAACTTAGGACACAAATATTTCCTCTAAACATTGATCTTGGAATGGGAAACAGAAAGAATCCCGTATCTGTCACGTAATAATTTACATATTTAAACAAAAATCTCAACTTAATATATTCAAGAAAAATGTAAAGTCGTATATATTTAGAGTTATATACACACATGTGCATTATGTACATTTGAATTATATTGCTTAATCTCCCACCAACTGAGGATTTAAATATTTGTCCATTTTTTTATCATAAACTTTACAACTACATTATTGATCATATGATACTACTTCCAGATTAATTCTAATAATAACCCTGTAATCGATAATATTACTGAAACCAAATTTACCAGAAAATGAAATTCCATAAATGAACAGGGGATTTTTTTTGCCACCTTATTTATAAAAATCAGAGGATTGAAATGTTGTAGTACAACATAAAAGGAATTGGAAAAAATTAAGAAAACTATATCTGACAGCAAAATATGCATATTTAGTATGAAATCGAATTGACATTTTATTAATTAATTTCATATTTATAGATAATATTTTAAAAAAATCAAATGCATTAGAAATTTCTTAATTATTGAAATTTCTAATTACAATCCACCTAACATTCTCATTACTTACAATTCATTTATTTCTTGAACTCTTTATTTGTTTTATTTTTCTTAAAACAAAATCATTGGTTTACATCTTCCATATTAAAAGAAACTATTACATTTCTGGAGCATCACATAAGTTTAGAAGTTCAAATATGAATATATTGGGAGCAAAATCGTAACAATTTAAGCCTTCAATAGTTTCTTGTATTAAGGTTCTGTAACCAAAAGTTATCTGAAACTATATTTTCTCATATCTTGCTAATTAGTTTGATAAAGCTAGAGATAAAATTAAAAAGCATTTAATACCATTTATTAAATTATTCAAATTGTTTATAAGAATAAAATAATAAGAATCTTGCTAACTAGTATTTCAAGAAGATCGTTTATGGAATCAATTTTTTATTATTAGAAATCATATTAAGATGCATTGAAAATTATAGTGGGATCTATTAATAATTCCTTTTTTAAAACTCATTCTTTATTCTCAGTGTGTGATAAGAACATTGTTATTGTAAATACACAACTCTTATTGTAAAAGATTCGTTTTTATTAAATGATTTTTTAAGGAAATAAATTTAAAATAAAGGATATTCACAAGTCTTTGCGAAAAATAATGTAGGTAAAGTAATAATTGGCAACACATAAAATCAATAAAATCTAAAAATACAAGCAATTCTAACATGTACCCTAGAGTGCAATTAATGTGAAGTTTTAAACAAGATCTTATTGATCAAACAAAGACTCATATTTTCAACTATGGGAAAAAAATAAAAAATAAAACTACAACCACAAATGCATCCTTTCTGGCTAAAGATTCAGTTGCCCTTAATATATAATATGATATCTTGTGTAAAGAAGATCGTGTGATCTTTAGGCTATTTACAAATACAAATTGGTTCTGTTAGTTGTACCTATATGCATAGTTATTCCTCCACTTAAAAAAAAATACTAAAATAGAAAAATTTAAGGGTATATATGATGATGAACCCTTAAATTAAATAATTTTAAGTTTATAATTAACCGATGAGGGAATTATATTGTCTTGTTTTAATGTTTGAGATAAGCTATTAACTAAAAATTACACCACAAAAATCGAATGAAGAGGCACTTCAATGCTTATCGATGCCTAAAGATGTGTATAAAATGATGCAATTATAAAGTTATTAAATAATAAAATTTAGCTTTTATCCTTTTACCTTTTTAAGATACATGTTTTTTATTAATTCTATAGATTGACTAAGTGGTTAGTGATCTGGTATTAAATATGTGGTAGAACAAAAACTTCTATATAATTAATTATGCTAACATGTCATTTCAAGTAATATATTTTTCTTAATTAATATAGCCAAGTATTTAAAATAAAAATTGAATAAATGAGAAACATATAAGAATTCAAAAATAAATTATAAAAGTTGAAAAAAGAATATAATAATTACTAAAAAAGGCAAAAAAAAAAAGTAGTTTTAACCACTAAAAAAATAAACATAATTAATAATTGAGTTTTTTTTATTGACACAAAGAATATTTCTAATTGATAGTTAGGACTAATTCTTTTCTAGCCAACATGTTTCCCAACTATCTTGATCTTGATGTTTATTATTAAAAATTGATTGAAAATAACAAAATGGTTCACACTTAATAGAATTTTGAAATTTTGGAAGAATGGAACCGGTGGAAAACATAAATTAATTCGACAAATAATTGAGGAAGTTGACAATATGCCATCTTATCAATCATCTTGACTTTTAGTTTATGTATAAATTTAACATAAAAAGTTAAGAATTAAAAGCGTTGTGAAATATAAACATTATTTTTTATTTCTTCATATATATTTTAAAAAAAATAAGAAATATAAACACTTTTTAATATATATATATTTATAAATTTTGTGGCTTTAGACTTTTTACTCATTGCTGTTTTGATTTTCCAGAGCTAATTCTATTTAAATTTTTTATACAGTCAAATAAAGAAAATGTATTTAATATGTGAACATTATATTCTTAAAATGGTAATCATATGAATATATAGAATTTCACATTATTAACCTTTCTTTTATCTTTTAAAGCATGAAGTCCAAGATCCTTTGAAAATGTCTACGATCGATCAGCACATCTACAGACGCAAATAAGAATTTTAAAGTTAAGCATTCATTTATTTAATAATATTATGATTTAAATATATTTTTAGTCCCTCAAATTTAGAGTAATTCTGTTTTTGGTCCCTCAAATTTAAAATTGTTATTTTTAGTTCCTGTAATTTTAAAAAATCTTATTTTAGTCCTTATATTCAAATTTTGTTAAAAAATTTATTAAACATTATTGCATAAAATCTACCTATTAGTATCCCTATCAGTAAAAATATCACATTAAATCTAGTTAATATTACATAACTGTATTAATTAGTTACTTTCAAATATGTTATTGGTGACCTAAAAGACTAAAATAAGATTTTTGAAAATTATAAAGACTAAAAACAATAATTTTAAATTTAAAAAATTAAAAATAAATGTATCTTAAATTTAAAGAACTAAAAATATATTTAAACATTTAGTGTTATTTATCAAGTGAAATGAAGTCTTAAATATTCTTAATTACCATACCAAACATTAGTGAGCAGCTTTAATTAATAATCCCGCATTAAAATATCTATATATAAAAAAGAAAAAATCTAAAACAATCAATAGCGAAATCGAAGGCAGCGATTGTCTTCTTCAAAAATTCTTTGGTTTCACATTTACAAGCGTCTTTGAAAGATGTTGCGATTTGACATGACCTGACTAAACATTTGTATTTTTCTTATTCATTGACTAAACAATTTAAGTATTAATTTAATATATTATGAATACAAATTTCATATTCACGTGGCCTGAAAAAATATGTTTTTAATACACAGATATTTTTTTATAGAAAAATTCTAGATCCTCCGAATTCATCTTCCAAAATTTATTCCGAAACTTTAAAATAATAATTTAAATTATAAAATATTAAATTAAATAATTGTTTTATAATAAATTTATTAAAAAGTAAGAATATTTAAAAATTTTGGAGGGTGTAATAGCAACTTTTTTTTTTTCTAATATGAAGGAGGTTGGACACAATTTTTATTTTTTACTAAATAAATTGTTCTAATAAATATGTATTTGAATAAAAATTTAGTTCCATTCAATTTACTTTTATTTTAAAGTAATAATTTTGTTATTTTTTTATTTTATGCATTGAAAAATTAAAATACACATTCCAATGTTTTGGACAACGAATTCTTACAACTACTTAACCTATCAGAATTGATTTCACATTTACTAAAGGAAAATGATTATTAATATTTAATAGTATGAACATAAATTGACAGTGCATATTCTTTGAGACATGATTGTTCAATATAAAAAATTTATCTAGTTAACTTAAAGCATCCAATCCCCTAATTCATTTGTTTCAGTTTAGTCACAATTCCTAATTCATATTATATAGCAATATAATATTATAAATAGTTAGCTTTTACTTTTCTTTTCTTTTTTTTCAGAGTGGGATATCTTTCATGACATCTCTATATTTTTTAGATGGACTTTTATGGTGTTTTTTTTGGCAAAATTTGATTTCCTATAAATTATAATACAGGGGAAGGTTTACACTTTACACATGAAGCTGAATGAATGGCTACGCCTTCATTAGTAATAATATAGCTAACTTTTCATAAAAAATAAAAATAACTGCATTTTTTTAAAAAATTAATTTCACATAATTAAGGTTTTTAACCCATTACTTTTTTTTTATATCTATATATAATCTACGTAGTACCCTAAAACTTAAAACTAAGAATTAATCTATATTTGTAAAGATAATTTTTATTAATAAAACTATTTTAATATCGATAATAATTGATTTAGAAATATCAAATCGACTTCTTATGATGACTTGAATAAATTTTATAATTATTAAAGCAAAAAACTTGATTTTATAATTCATTATTCTTCATTTTCCTGAGATATCACTATAACATCGAAAAAATTATATAATTATGGTTTCAACTAATTTTCATATTAATCAAATTAGCAATGATTTATGTTTTATATCTAAATTGATCAAAGTTTAAATTTTCATCTTAGATATCAAATAAAATAACTTGAAAAAGAAATATTTATTTTGTGTGAACTCATAATCCTTGATAATTACTAATTACAATTTATATCAATATCACAATTACTAAAAAAAATTAAT